TCACCTCACACTCTCTCTCTTTCCTCCTCTCCATTTCTTTCTTCGTTCACATTTTTTTAAAGCTTTATTTCGAAAAGGCAGCGCACAAGTCGTAGCCTGTATATTAAAATGCGTCGCTGACATGAGCGCGTATTCGGAGAGCATATGGATCTCCGAAACCGAGCATTCTTCGAGATGTGAAGCTCATGCTGCTTTCTAATTCACCGCGATTGCAGAAGTTATGAGGTTGGAAGGAAGGTCGATGGGACTGTCTAGGGCGGCTGGTGGTCAGTACAGGTGGCGTGGGACAATATAGCTCGGCCGAATTTATATATGAAAAAGGAGTGAAGCTCATCAGGCTCACTCAAGTAATATATATACCCTCCTGAGACCCAGCAGTGGGAAATTCGTCCAATACATTGGACAATGGAACATAGCGCACATCGGCTTTCGAAGTGCTTCGCTCCTCCTTGCAAGCATCTATTTGACTGCTACTGGGACCAGCTGCGCCATTTGGCGAATGTCGTTGAAGTCGCCATCTTTCCCGCCTTTCCAGGAGCGTTAAAAACGGCTCGATCAAACCCGAGCGACTTTTACGGCTGCCGCTTTTGAGCAGCGCTGATATTCACGTGGGTTTCCACATGTGCCAGGGCGCACTTGAGTATTCAAAATAACACGAATCAACACATACTTGGTACGCTATTATAACTTTTGTTTCCTAGAGAACAGTCCCGATGCTTAATATAACGTGCCACGTGGTGTGGCCATAGAACATAAGATAAAAAAAAAAACTGCGTGACACTTTTCACCTTTGGTGGCTAAGATATTCGGCTGCTGACCCGCAGGTCGCGGGATCGAATCCCGGCTGCGGCGGCTGCATTTCCGATGGAGGCGGAAATGTTGTAGGCCCGTGTGCTCAGATTTGGCTGCACGTTAAAGAACCCCAGGTGACCGAAATTTCCGGAGCCCTCCACTATGGTGTCTCTCATAACCATATGGTGGTTTTGGGACGTTAAACCTTACAAATCAATCAATCAATCAATCAATCAATAAATCAATCAATCAATCACTTTTCACCTTTGCACCCAGAAGAAGCATTGTGTAAGTTAAAAAAAATTCATGAGCCACATTCACTCAAGGCCTCAGAGGGGTATTTTGCATTGAGATTTCTTTCGGATTCACATTACTTTTTTTTTCAAACGACTTCACTAGAGCTCACCTGACCTACGGAAGTGGGGGAGGGTGACAAAGTATTGGGTGTTACGTACTACTTCAGAGCCTGGACTTAGCGTCTGCTTTCATAGCAATCTTCTTTAGGTATATACATATAACCAAACGTCCACTCTGAAACGGAGGACAAGACACCAGCAGTGCTGATCGAAGGATCATTTACTTAAAGTCATAAGTGATCGCATCTGAAAGTTTGATTGTATTTTTAGCGTGGAATCTTTTTAATGCAGACAGCGAAAACGATTGGTTGCGTAATAAATGCATGAAATTCACATGAACAAGGGAGCAAATAAGCAAAAAAAATCGAAGGAAACTCAACAACTGAAGCAACAGGAAACTCCACTTTGCAAGCGTGACGTTCTTTATTTCAACTTTTAGCCCCCAAACGCGAAATTTTTCTGACAATGAAACATCGCCGACCATTTCCATCGAGTGTTTTCGAAGCCTGCACAAAGGAAACAGGTCGGGAGCACCGAAAAGTATGCAAATGTGGAGTGGCGAGATAAGTGAAATGGGAAATTCAACGAGAATAGAGAGGAGTGAAAGATTCATTGTGTCTCCGAAAGCAGGCGAGCGAATTAAGTTTCGGCCGGGCTGCTTATACATACATAGAAGCAAACTAACTCTCGAACAGTGTGCAAGCACTTAAATATGCTTAGTACGAAATTGGGCAACGGGAGCTGACTAGAGATAAAGAAAAATTGTCGAGATAAGTACGTGAGGAGCAGATTCGATTGCTGCGAATAATGTCTCAAAGAAAAAAAAGAAATCGAAAAATGAACTTACATTGCAGAGGAGCACTTCGTGAGAAAAACGCAAATTAATGGGCGAACTTCCTCGTGAGAAAAAAATTCGTGTTTTCTTTTATTGTGTTCAACTTTTATATTCAGAAATGAACCATTCACTGTTTCTCTTAGCGAAATTTCCGTACTGTGGACGTATTCGCGCCAAAATAGTATGTGTTTCCCTTATTCTGTTCGCACCTCGGCGACTGCAGTGCCTAAAAAGCAAATTACATAAAACCTGACTGAAATATGTCTTGACAGGATGGTCATTCGTTTCACTACAAAATTGTATTCGAAAGGTCTGCTTGTTCTGATGTCTCCAGTTAAATGAAATTCTCCGTAATTGGATGTTTTCTTTAGCTTTGCGAAACAGATGTGACTGAGTTGAAAAAATTGCAGTTGCAAGAAAGGATTCTGCTGAGGCCTTATTGATCTAGCTCTGCCAATGGGGCTGTGGATGATAAGGAGGAGGATTCTTTTCTCTAGAATAAATTTGCGCAATCATTTGTTATAAAGCAGTTCACTCCGAAAATGCCAACTGCCGAGAAAGAAAGCTGCATGCTCTCGCAGCATCAATTTAGCACCATGGGTGCCAGTTCACGTTTGAAAAACTGACGGGAGAGTGGATGTCTCAGTACAGTTTATACGTAAACGAATTCAGGGACTTCACGGGACATAGTCACAATATTATAATGAAGCTCTGTGAAGGAAGACACTGTGATTATACTTTGTCCATGCGTGGCTCCTTAACGAGCACTTAAATCTAACTACACGGGCGTTTTAGCATTTCCTTAACTAGAACCTAAATCTAACCACACGGGCGTTTTAGCATTTCGCACCCCATTGAAATGCTGTCTTTGAACTCATATTAGGTTTTTACTATTTTTTCATCGCATATGCTGGGTGTTCGTCCTTGAGGTCTTACTGAGATTTTATTGGCATTTCTTTCTGAGGTTCTATGAAGGTTTATTGTCGCAGTTTTTTAACTCGTGGTTTCATTCGCATGTATATTCAATAAATGAAAATTGAGTCCACGTATCAAAGTTACTACGCAGCCACAACGCAGTTTTCATTAACTTCTTATTATTTGCTAGACACAACATTACTTAGAACTGACAAACAAGGTTACATGGTTTGGTCTGTTCCAGCAGAAAGTTATGTTTTAATGCTCTTAACTTTCTTCACATTTACACCATAATTGTCACAATTACAACAAAGACCATATCATTTAATTTATTTGACTTTGCAGTCTGTTAACCTTCTTCAATGCTGTCTAACATGGCAGTTCATGAGCAATTATCTATAACAGCGGCAGTATGAGATTATTGTGAAAGGACGTTATTAGCCCTTCGGGAAAAAATGAGAATGCGTGTTCATTAAAAAATATGCTTACGTTCTAGCAAATGAATAAAGAAAAAAATGGAACACGAGGCATTATTTACGAACAAACTCAATTGTCAAGAAAGTGTCACTTGAAAGAACGAAACAAGATGATGCAGCTTGTTATGTCCATTTTTTTCCTTTTCTACGTGCTGCTACAGTCGACTCATATGACGAAGCCCAAAGATAAGCTGTATGCCTGAATTAAGAAAAAAAAATTATAACAGCTAAGTAGGCAACAGTCTCGTTAAAAAAACGTGCGTCCCCCGCCCCACCAAAAAAAAAAAGGGCGTCTTTGATTCTCCATGGTTTCCTATCGCCACGGTCGACCTTGATCGTCGGCGCTTCCCGTGACCTCCTTTCGTTTCTCTCCTCCTCTATACGCTTCTTCTCTCCGTCTTCGCGCAAGCTTTCTTCCCTGAGATCCCCGGGCCCCGGTGCTTCGATGACGTCATTGGCAGCGCCACGGATTAACGCGCGAAGCGCAGGCACTGAACTTCCTTGACGTCATCGATTCTCGCTGCTGACGTCAATCGGTGGCACGATCGCCACAACCACTCTTCTGATAAACAAAAAAAAATCTTTTGGTGTCCTGGTGCTATCGAAACTTTTTTCTGCGTTGTTTTTGAGCCAAGCTAACTAAAAAAAAAAACAATACTTTGTGTCTTTGTTAATTGATAAATACTTCTGAGGCTCAATATAAAACTATTGAGTGAGTAGTACCTAATATATATTAAAAAAATAGCATGGTAGTCCCGCCCGCAAAAAAGAAAAAGAACAGGAATTGCAGACGAGCTCCTGTTATTTTTCATGTGCCTGTTTTTCGTGCTACGTCGTGACTAATAATTCCAATGAACTCGCCAAAAATTCAGTATTTGGTACAAAAAAACTGTCCACATGAACACACGCAAAAAAAACATGGATATTATTTGCAGGAGATTCATGCAATGGTTTAAGGATGCTCTGTATATATTACGGAAGCTTGAACGGGCTTGCACGGACACTTAATTCGACGTACACCTACGATTGTTAACGTCCGCATTTACACAAATGAATTTCTTTCACGTTGAGTACCCATAAACTACCACTACATTTTCTCATCCACAACTAAACAATTGCGAGCACCTTGAACTATGCCGAAAAAAATTCTGCATGTAGTCCTCATAATTAGTAATTAAGTTTTGCGGAAAATTCGGCATTGGTAGATTTGGTAGAATATTGGTAAATAAATTGAGACAGACCGAAGAGAATCGAGGTGTCGTGACAGCGAGTTGTTAACATTAACAAATAATACCAATAATAGGGTAACGGCAGAATGAACGAGACCTACCTGACCGTATCACGTTAAGTTTTAGTCAACAATACTCAACCCTGGCGAACGCTAATGTGTGCAAGCACTGTGCAGGAAAAGACGGCAGTTGAAGTCACCGAAGTTTGAAGCTTTGTAGGACCCCACGGCCTTACGTGATCGGCGGATCTGTCCAACAGATACGTGCCATTCAGGCATTAGACGAAAGCTGACTGATTAGATTGTTTTTGCATAACAGTGCGCACCATTGGACTCGGGTTACTTGCAAACAGTGGTTCTCTCATAATAGATGAGAGCTTGTATTGGCCAACCCTTACCTGCAGTTAGCGCAACACAAGCCATTGTTTAGCCAAAGTGGGGCAACGCTTTTGAAATTTGCCTCTTCTAAGTAAACAGTGGCACCTGTTAGATGCCCGTGTGCCGATTCAGGAGAGCGTTGAAGAACACTAGAAGGTCAAAGTTTCTGGAGCTCTCCACTATATACGACGTCTCTCATATTCGTATCTTGGTTTTGTGTGTTAAAAATTAAATATAATTATTATTACACATTATATATGTGGTGTTCAACCAACGGTAAGCATTCAGTAGGAAAACATTAACCTACACTAGACAAGATTAGCCATGATATAACCAACACAAGATTAGCCATGAGTGGGCCCGGCGGCACGTTAAGGATGCATCGCCCTAACTGGCTTCGTTTCTTCGTAACGCAGCTCGTCGTGCTTTCCTGGCAGCCTTTCCCGGTTCGGATCGTGAGGCAGCCCGTCGGTGTTCTACAGGATGCCGGCGTTCCGCACCCCGGACCTGCAGATACGCTCAACAGTGACTACAGTTTCCACGAGGATGGCCGTGATGGCTGCATGCCTGCACAAACAGTCTGCGCAGAATCATCTGCGCGGCAGGCTCATCTTTGGTGGTACGGCCCGCGCATGGATCGGACTTACTACGTGCTATCTGCAACCAGCATATTACCCTCCCCCTTGGAAAAGTCTATAAAGCCTGGTGAAACCATCGCCGCGACTAGTGGGCCCGGCGGCACGTTAAGGATGCATCGCCCTAACTGGCTTCGTTTCTTCGTAACGCAGCTCGTCGTGCTTTCCTGGCAGCCTTTCCCGGTTCGGATCGTGAGGCAGCCCGTCGGTGTTCTACAGGATGCCGGCGTTCCGCACCCCGGACCTGCAGATACGCTCAACAGTGACTACAGTTTCCACGAGGATGGCCGTGATGGCTGCATGCCTGCACAAACAGTCTGCGCAGAATCATCTGCGCGGCAGGCTCATCTTTGGTGGTACGGCCCGCGCATGGATCGGACTTACTACGTGCTATCTGCAACCAGCATATTACCCTCCCCCTTGGAAAAGTCTATAAAGCCTGGTGAAACCATCGCCGCGACTAGTGGGCCCGGCGGCACGTTAAGGATGCATCGCCCTAACTGGCTTCGTTTCTTCGTAACGCAGGTAACGAATCAGCATTGCCTCTATGCTAAGCGTACTAGCTCTCGTGCATTGTTTGTGCTGCCGGGCCCACGGCGAACGCTCGTGATAATATATGACTGTACATGCATGCTGATGAGAGTACTTTTGTTAGCAGGTGATGTCGAAACTAATCCCGGCCCCGCTACCAAAGCGTCGGGCGACTTACTTGAAATGCTCAAAGTGTTACAAATGGGCAGTCAGCTATGATCGAACAATTAACTTCCATTAAGGAGACGCTGTCCGAAACGAAAAAAAGTTTAATGACATCAATAACAGACTCTACAAGATTGAATCCGACCTTAAGTCAATTCAAAGCATCAATCTCAAGCTTGAAAATATAGAAACAGTCACGAACAACTGCGGTGTTCAGGTATCTCAGCTGACTGCTCGCGTTGAAGATATGGAATGTAGATCTCGCCGATGCAACCTAGTGTTCTATGGCCTCGCAGACAAACAAACGGAGACGTGGCGCGATTCAGAGGAATTAATCATCCAGCATTGCGAAAAAAATCTTGATATAACAATTCAAGCACGCAACATTGAAAGGGCTCACAGGCTTGGCGCTTTTAAAGACAGAAAGAATCGACCAATAATTGTCAAGTTTGCCCATTTCAAGGACAAAGACCACATTCTTTCTAGGGGCGGCAAGCTGAAAGGCACTGTCTACGGTATAAGTGAAGATTTTCCTCCGCATACGCGCTTGGCCCGTAGACGCTTGGTTGAATTCGGCAAGGCTCAAAACATGCCCATCAAACTGCGCTACGATAAACTTATCTGTGGTAACAAAACATACGTATTTGATCATCCTACTCAGACTGTTGTCGAGTACAAACGTTAGCAACTAGCAAAGAAAGTCGGCAACCCAGATAAGCCTTCTAAACATGATGTATCAATTCTTTACAGTAATATTCGTAGCCTCATACCGAAACGTGACGCCATAAGCAGCCTCATTTCATCCTCTTCTAGTAACGTCGTACTAATCACCGAAACTTGGCTCAATTCTCTGGTCTCAAGTCCTGAGCTCTTTCCCAACCTGCCTGAGTTCGATATCTTCCGCAAGGATAGGGACAGCTCTCGCGGTGGCGGTGTACTAATAGCCACTAATCGTCAATTGCAATGTTCCCTTGTAAGCGTGCAAACGCCTTTAGAAATGTTGTGGGTCCGCAGCCACGCAACCACGCCGCATATGCTCATTGGCGTCTGTTACCGTTCACCCAATTCTGAAAGTTCGTTTGCATCTGATTTTCATGACGTATTACATGAGATAACGCTTACTAATCCTAGTACTCCCATCTTGCTTTTTGGCGATTTCAATTTTCCTTTCATTGACTGGTCCAAGCTATCCACCTGCCAAAACACAGATAATGTCTCCAATGAATTCTTACACACGTGCTTAACGTTTGGTCTATCACAGCTTGTCACTTCTCCTACGCGCACAACCGATCATTCAAGCAACGTTCTTGACCTTCTGCTTACGTCACATCCTGATAACTTTTCTTCTCTTTCTTATATTAGCGGTCTCAGTGACCACACCGCGATCCACACTACGTTTCCCGGTAACATGATAAAAAAAAAGCGTCAAATCGAAGAAATTACTGACTCTTTACGACAAAGCCGACTATGTCGCTATGAACAACGACTTAGCAGCCTTTTATAGTGAATTTTCCTCAACTTACGATCAACAATCCACTGAATCTAATTGGGCTTTATTTAAATCCAAGATGCAGGACTTGATCAAACTTTACATTCCAACAATCACTATATGTGAAAGATCTCGTTCTCCCTGGTTTAATGTCAATATAAAACGTATGAAAAATAAGAAGAAACGACAGTTTCGTTCTGCCAGGCAATCGAACTCTCAACTAGCCTGGGACAAGTATAAAAGTACAGCCAAAGAATACATGGCATTATTGGCATTGGCAAAGAGAAACTTTTTTTCAACCACACTACCCAACATGCTTCGGGACAACCCACGCCGCTTTTGGAAAATAATGAAACCGGATGATAAAACTACACTTTCTCTTTGTGACAATTCTGGATCCCCTATTGCCGATTGTGACGTTCCATCTGTCTTGAACTCTGCATTTTGTTCCGTTTTTACTAACGAAGCTAGCGGAGAACTTCCTGAATATCCGCATTTTGCTTTTCCGCAAATGCCGAAGATTGAGTTCAGCTCAGAGGGAATCGTTAATGTAATCAATCAATTAAAAAATTCTTCATCATGTGGTATAGATGGCATCAATGCCAAAATTCTTAAAAATACTAAGCATATCTCTGGTTCCATACTATCAATCATTTTCCAACAGTCGCTCGATACAGGTGAAGTCCCATTGGACTGGAGAATTGGGAAGGTCATTCCGGTCTTCAAGAAGGGCGATCGTTTATTTGCAGGTAACTACCGCCCCATCTCGCTCACTAGTGTTTGTTCTAAGATCATGGAGCATGTCATCTTCTCTCATGTTGCCAGCTTTTTATCATCTGCAAGTTTTTTTCACCCAAACCAGCATGGCTTTCGTAAAGGTCACTCCTGTGAGACCCAACTAACATTATTCCTGCATGACATCCATCTCCACATAGATCGTAACATCCCAGTTGATACACTGTTTCTTGATTTCGAAAAAGCATTTGACAAGGTGCCTCACTCTCGTCTCCTACTAAAAGTCTCGCGTCTAAGCCTTCACCAGTATGTTTTCAACTGGATCAAAGCATTCTTAACAAACCGCAAACAATTTGTGCATGTTAATAACCTTTCTTCCAACCTCTCCCCAGTTCTGTCTGGCGTGCCCCAAGGTACCGTCCTCGGGCCTCTCCTATTCTTGATATATATTAACGACATTCCACTTTCTGTTCAATCTAATATTCGTCTTTTTGCCGACGATTGTGTCCTTTACCGTCCAATACATAACTCTACCGATGTTTCTTCCCTACAGCATGACCTCTTACGCATTCAACAGTGGTGTAACACTTGGCTGATGTCTCTGAATACGAATAAAACATTGCTCATTTCTTTCCATCGTCGCAGAAACTACGCGCCGGCTACTTACACCATCAACAGCTGTCCTATAGCTGCTACTAACTCAATCAAATATCTAGGTGTCCATCTTACGAGCGACCTATCATGGGGTGACCACATAGATCACATAGCTTACTCCGCTAACCGTGCCCTTGGTTACGTACGCCGCAACATTTTCATGGCACCACCTTCCGTTAAACTACTCGCTTATATCACCATTGTCAGACCTAAACTTGAATATGCATCTGCCGTCTTTGACCCCCACCAAACAAATCATATTAAAATTCTGGAATCTGTCCAGAACCGAGCAGCCAGATTCATTGCTTCAGATTACTCCCGTTACTCCAGCATCTCCAACCTAAAAAACCAGTTAAAACTTCCTACCCTCGCTTTTCGTCGTCATATTGCACGTTTGTGCCTTTTTCACAAATTCTTTCATTCAGCCACACGTGACAACCAGCTCATCCAACCAGTCCATCGAGGCCATCGCAGAAGTCATCCAAACGCTGTAATTCCGCCACGTGCTCACACCACATCATTTCAACAGTCATTCTTTTTGCGCACCGCCCGAGACTGGAATGACCTTCCGGAAGAAGCGGCTGTCATCCGGGATTCTGCGCGCTTCAGGAATGCCATACAAGCAGCAGACTCAACTGCATCTTAACCTTTACTTTTGATACCGCCTTTCATCGCCCACCCCTCATGTAAAGTTCCATACGGAACCTTTGAGGATATAATAAATAAAAAATAAATAAATAAAATAAATAAACACTAGCGAACATTGTCGAGTACGAACAAGTTTGACAGTCTGAATTTCCGATGGAGGCGGAAATGTCGTAGGCCCGTGTGCTCAG